GCCTGGTGTCAGACTATAGAGTGCTCACGTTTTGCTGACGTAGCGTCACTGTGCCAAGCGTGCCCGCGCGTCAACGGTACATTAGAGTATGTTGGGATTTCATGATGTGCTCGTGACCATTTTGCTAGCTCCACCTGTACCCAATTTGGTGTTACGTGACACAAATAGATGACGAAATATATGTCTGGTGCAAACACGATAATCCTGACATGCGTGTCATGTAAGAACGTGACAACATGCCACACTCATAGCGTGCTCACTGGCGTTTCGCTAGCTCCTCATGCTAAATTTGGTATCACGTGACGTGAATAGATGACGAAAGTAAACGACACTTCAAAACATAATAATCATGACATGTAAGTCATGTACGGCATCATTAACCTTCACCTCATAACGTTGTGCTGATTTTGAAGCGACTTTTCAACATTTCTCATTGATGCTTCGCATATCATCGATTGCCACTGTACGTGAGATCTGCCTTTATTTTTCGTAACTTATCTGGCTATAGTACATTCCTTGACATTTTTGCTCAGTATTGCTATCTGTCTGGCGCTCTTTTAAACACCACCAAATGTAAGGCGTTGCGCTTTGGAGGCTTCACAGAACTATATATTGCCAGGAGGCTTGGAGAATAGGTTCAAGCAGTTGAGGTGTTAGGCGTTTACTTTGAGGAAGGAGATGTCTCAAAAAGGACTTGGGATGACGTGCTGAGGAGATCTACCGATGTCATAGCAGCAGCCACTCATTTTAACCTGTCACTAACGGTAAAAGCAACAGTCATCAAAACACAGGCATGCGCGTTTGCGTTTTACATAGCACACATCGCCCTTCTACTTCGCCGTGTTACAAAATGCCTCGCCTCCATGGCGGGGACCTTCCTCTTGGGAGGAAAACCAGCAAAGCTACGAAGGGAATTTCGACAGCTTCCCACAAACCATGGAGGCCTGAGTCTCCCAGACATACCAACATTCACGAGAGCGCTGGCTGCAAAAACAACACAGAAGCTCTTCGATGACAGCAACTACCCCGGGTACAGGCTCTTGATGTACTGGAGCAGTACACTGAAAGGTACTTTCAAGGCAAATCCGTAAATCATACGACGAGCAGAAATTCCGCTTAAGTTTTACAGAGCTGCCAGTGGCTTAAAACGGACAGTGGAATCAATAGGTTCATGCAGTCCGGAAGATGCTTAATGGCAGGAAATAAGCAAAATGATGACAAGTAGCACACTGAGACGATAGGAAGAAAAAGCATCCTGCCCGAAAAAATGGAAATGATGTCGTTGCGATTGCGTACCTAACCAGGTGCGCGAGTTTGACTGGTTGAGAAGATGTAGGGCATTGCCTACGCGTGACCGGTTGGCACATTGGGGAGTCGTTCCAAATGACCGCGAAACAAACTTCGGCAAAAGAGAGACGGCCCAACATGCTCTGTTTCAGTGCTTGGCGGCGAAGGGCGTCTGGCACATGGTACAACACCTCTTTGGCTTTCGCATGGTGCGCATGGGAACAGAACGTGGGCTGTTTGCAAGACTGGTCTTTACTGTGACCTTGTACGTACTGTGGCGGCGACGCTGTTTAGCGGAAGTGCGGTAGAAGCCTCATAGAGGCGCCTATCCCGCACTCCAGAAAATACGGCTCATTGTGTGGAATTACCTAGATTAGCACCTGGAAACGCACGGCGAAGAGGCTTTCCTTCGACGATGGCACACATGTTTCGTCAGAGTAAGAGATGGACAGCTGAAGTTTCCAGTTGTTTCTTACTAGCCATGCGCCCACTCTAGTACGCATCTATACGTGTTATTCTATAAAATGTGATTAACTTGACTCATTTTAATTTTCCTTTGACTTGTAACATTTGGATACCCAGTGATCAATTAGATTTTGGTGCTCATTTGTAAGACGTATACACTCGCTTTACTTGTTTCGATGTTTCGTTTGTTTATGTACAAGTTAAGTGTACAATAAACTTCCCTTTCTCAAACTTTTTCGTAAGCATAATTGAGTACATCATGCTTTAATTCGTCGAAAATTCGTACTAAACACAATCTAGGTGAGCGCGGTAACCTCAAATAATGCAAAAACCACAGATCGCAACCAAGACACCCTTATCTCTCCCCTTCCAATCGTTCAACATCGTCGAAGTTCTTGACACATGGCGTGCATGTTTATACACGCCGTTCTCGTGCCCGAGAAACAGGTGGTGAGATGACGCCGTCGATGAGTGCCGCACCAGCATCTGGGAACACTGTAGTTTCCTGACAGCACCCCGTCGAGTTCCCGGCACCAACTGATTGATATACGTGCTTCCACATGACCGAGTTCCGAACATGCCTTGTTCGTCTCTTTCCCTTTACCATCACCATGGTAGCCGAAGCACATGGCGCTTATTGATAGCGCAAACAGAAAACGCCTGGACAGTCACTGAGGTCGGTCACCCAACGGAGCACCGGACGCCTGTGTTCAATTACAACAGGGAAACCAACCTCGCTTTCTAGCAAATAGCTATCGCACCAAATGAACGGAAATGGGATTAAGGTTGGTTTGCGGCACTATGGGAAGCTTCCGGTACGATAACGCTTGCAAAAGATCGCTGACCTTTTACAGTGAAGCTGTGTATGGCCAGGGTGTGTTCGCCTGTTGTCCTTCGTTCACGAGCAAAAACGTATGTGCTTCGAAAAGATCGCTGACCTTTTACAGTGAAGCTGTGTATGGCCAGGGCGCGTTCGCCTGTTGTCCTTCGTTCACGAGCAAAAACGTATGTGCTACATAAATTGTCAGACCCCAATACCAAATGCTGGTTCATTAAAAATGAATGGAACAAGCTGGTGGCAAACACCATGCACGATGCTCAAATGACTCCAAGATTGAGCTCGAAACTCCGAGTACAGGCGGGAAGTGGGACAATACGATTCATGCCATGGGCAAAAAGACGCATGCTGCTCAAACGTTCAACTTTAAAGAAACGTTCGCTAAATTAAAAAATAGACTTTCTTGAGAGACAATAAATTTATTTGCAGGGCCGGTGATCAGCCGCAGTTTGGAATCGGTCAGTGATGAGCCATGCATGGCGGTGAAAGGAGGTCAGCTCTGCGTAATGGAAAAATCGGCAGGCACGAATGAAGTTCTGAGCGATGCAGACGTGTTTCACTGTTAACCTGACCGACCATTTGCGTTGAACAAACAATTTGTTGTCGTTAGCCTGCAGGCTGCATATTTTTTTCTGAACAGGATAGGAGCGCCTGTCCTGTCCACTATACGTTTCTTCCTGTTCGGTGTTTTCAGCACCAAACTTGGCCTAAGCGAGCGTCTTCTTGTCGCTGCTCGGGCCAGCATCGATGTAGAAGTGACGCTTCGCAGAAGATTGAAGTAAAAATGCTTCGAGACGTCATGAATCGCTGCAATTCCTAAATTTTCAGTGTTAATCACGTGTAATATACGTACGCACTGATGAAGGTGGTGACGACGTTTGTGGTGATGAACATATGGCTAAATGCGCGCGTGCCCCTATAGAAGAAAGAATTTCTGCTGATACTCGTGTCACCGTTTGCTCTGGCCACCTGATCAGATTGGGCGTGACCACGGGAAGACACCACGTCACAGCTATATGCTGGTCATACTGCTTCGGTCCTCTTCTCCGTAATAGTAACAACCGATATTGCAGATATGTATTTGTTCCTGCGTTGCATTATGATTACCAAATCGTTATTAAGGGGTCGTTAACTTCACGTGGACGCAAAAAACGAGTCATAGAGAGAAAGAGAAAGAAAGAGAGAGAATTCATTCACAAAAGGGCAGAAAGGTGAAAAAAAAAATAAGATACGTGTAAAGTTAATGTCACTGTTTTCTCAAGGCAGCCGTAACACTCTGGATCTCTCTGTGTTTCCTGTGATTCGGTCACGCGCAATTTCGAAGTCTCATCGTGGCTTGTTTCCTACTATAATGGCGGTGGTAATAGTTAACTTCTTTTATAAGTTTGGTGGTGTTATTGCAAAGGTCTGCATTTCCTTAACTTTTTTCACGCGTTTTTTTACACTAATCACTGATGGTCTTGATACATCGTCGATGGTGTCGTTTAGTCCTACTTCAATGGCGGTGGTAATAGTTAACTTCTTCGCCGGTAAGTTTGGTGGTGTTATTGCAAAGGTCTACATTTCCTTAACTTTTTTCACGCGTTTTTTTATACTATTCACTAATGGTCTTGATACATCGTCGATGGTGTCGTTTAGTCATCAATAATATTATGTAAAAATGACACGAAGCGTGCCTGTTTACAAGAGGTATCTACTCTGGTGCGTATACTATAGTATCTATTGTACATCGCTATAGTATACTATGACATACTATAGTATACTATAGTTTAGTATACTATAGTATACTATAGTATACTATAGTATACTATAGCGAACAGACCAGCCCTCTTCTTTGTTGTCTTCTGTGCGCAGAATGTGTGATCACTGATATGTCAGCTACGTATCAATATTTTCGTGACCATCAATGCACCATCATCACCGAAGCTCTCGTTGTTAAAAGGAGTGTGAAAATTAGGGTAATAAATAAATATTGTAGCGAAAGTCTTGTAAACATTGCTTTTTATAGTGTCAATATCGGCATGTGCCGTAGTGGGCACTTAAGATTCCCAGTTCGCAGCTATTTTTCATTGCCTAAATAGTCTCGTTTTTCTGCACTGAGGAAGATGAAGGCGGTCGTTCCGCCACCCTCTTTCTACCCCGAGCGAAAGGCGGTAAGCGCTGTCAAGGGACCATGAGCCTCGTCTGTGGGTACGCCTTCGTCGCGATCGCCTGAAGGCGATCCACCGGTGTCGGCAGGTCGTCTCCGTCCGTCGACACTCGTGCACCAACGGAGAAAGTTCCTGATCTACCGACGGTACAGTGTGGCTGCTGAGATCCTAAGCCAGCGACTACACCACGCTGTAGCAAGGACAAGCACCTAGTCTCTCCTAGCAGCTTGCCAGACCGCATAGGCAAGCTCGAGGCAGTCATGACGTACTACACGAGCTACATCCGGACGCCCTCGGGCGTGCTCAAGATGTTCCAGATCCTGGTAGGCCTCGTGATCGTCATCAGCCTGATGAAGTACAACTACGACCAGCAGGAGATGGCCTACACTTTCCGCTTGGACACGGTGCTGATGGCAATGACGGCCTTCACTTTCCTCCTCGTCTCGGCGGTGCTGCTGCTGTGCGCACTGCTTGACGGCCCCATGCACGGCTTCAGCGTCACGTACCGCCTGTTGAACGTGTTCGCGGTGTTCTGCTACCTGCTCTCCACCACGGGTTACCTGGCATCGGAGTTCCGCTACGGCGTCGACTGGCACTTCGGCCTGTCCACGGGACTGCTCTGCATCGGCAACACGGTCGCGTACGGCGGCAACACGTTCCTCGCCTACAAGACGCTGCTGGAGTGAGCACCCTGTCCAGCCACCGGTAGCGAAGACCAACGTCTCAGACCCAAAGGTTTCTTTACCGGGTACCGCTACCGCTAGACCATGTTCTGCGTCAACAGATCATTTTTGAAGGCTGTTAGTGCTGTAAAGTGTTCATCCGTCGGTATTTCTGTCTTTTTTGCGCCGACTCTTCATTTTTTTATTCTTTTACATAAGTGTGAAGGCTTCAGTAAATGTACATGTTTATTGCCTGCTCTTGAGTACTACTTGTTACTGTGTTGGTTAGTACGGCCATTGAGTATTCTATGGTGTAATGTTTGCGGAGTACCGTGGCTCTAGAATTGTCACTTGAGTAAGCAACTTTCAAGATTGTTGATGCAAGAGAGCTTGTCTTTACATAGCCGTTCATTAAGAGCAGTGGAGTATATACGCATTATGTATACGTACACACATGCATACGGATGTGGTTTCTATGTCCATCCAATATACCTTTTCATTTCAAGGGTCATGTATAGCTGCTCCTTATATCGATGGCGGTATCGTCCGGATACTTTAGAAACAGCATTCGCGCGCAAGGGGCTTATAGTTCCGGCATTCGGACTTTCACTAGGTGTCCTCATTCTCTTTTCCGAGGTGTCCTCACTCTTTTTTCCGAATTAGCAACGCTTTCCGGGTATTGCACATAGTGAGGCCACAGAAGTCCTAACGATTCTCGAATTCGAGGAGCAGTAACGATGACTTTTTCGCAAAAACCGTTGACTTCATCGTTTTCTCGGAAGTGCATCTCTGTGACGCATGACTATTTCTAAACAATTCTAGACAGAGTGCGACAAATGGGGCTTTCTGTAAATTGGTGATCTTGTTCTTTTGGTGTGGCTGTGTCACGCCAACGATTTATCCTGGTGTTTCAATACACATGTCCTTAAGTATTGGGGCAGTTCATGTACCACCCGGAGATTCTTAAGTGCTCTGACTTCATGCTGACTACCCTTTTCTTTTTGCCATTGGTGAAAGCTTCGGGGCTTTCATTCGCCCTAGCAACCGCCGCAGCGGTCGGGGTCACTTCGTGTTTGCCAATGCGCACGTCGCCGTGGCTACAGCAAATAAATAAGACAAACAGAATAAAAACAAAATGCGCCGTCCACATTGCGACTGACTGACGCAGCCCCACTTGAGCGAAATTTCCTCTCCGATATAGGGTCTCGGTGGTGGCCACAGCAAAAAGGATTTCCTCGTACTGGGCGCGACAATCCGTCGGCTACCACCATTTCAACAGAAATGCTTTGTGAGTGCCTCCTGCGTTTGCCGCAGAATAAACATGAAAAAGAATGCAAACAAGAGACATCAACGGCATTGTCTTTCGCCTCCTCTGTTTACCCTTTCCCAGCTGCTTGTGCCCGTCTTTGCACCCAAGGCCTGCACTCGCAGAAGGTCTTGAAGACGATGACAACGACGCTTACTGAGTCTTCTTCTCCTTGCTCTTCATCTTGTTCTCCTCCACAAGCCCTTTTTTTTTTGTAACTCTCTGGGTCCCTCTCACTACCATCCATAGATTCTCCTCTCCACACCACTTTCGTTTCGTTTCTACATGGATGCAAGGGACGGCTGGCTGTGTGCAGCGCAGTTTTCGTGCAACGCTAGCTGTCCGCTCGGACGTCGACGCGAGGCCAGGGTTCACAGAAGCACCGCTTCTTCTCGGGTCGGGCTACTGCTCCTACTTTTTTTTTCTCTCATCACTGATGTTTTGTAATGTTACCGCTTCCGGGCTCGCTTGCTTCGTCAGTCTCTCAACGAGACATTGTCCTTCTCTTTCTCTTTCACCCTTTCTGCACGAACGGACATTTTATTTCTCCCCTTCCTTTTCTGCCGGTTTGGGACAATCGATGGTGCCTGAGACTTGAAACGGCCGAAGCGGCGCTTTGTCGTTCTCTGATCTTCCTTTGCTCCCCTTGTTTTCGCAATTTCGTGTATTGGTGTCGCTGTTGATCTATGGGCATCGTTAGAAGTGGTGAAATGAAGCTCAGACGTGAAGTAGCAGTGAATAGAAAAGAGAATGAGTGCGACCATTACTAATTCTTTCAAAGTCACCTAAGCAGAGAAACTTCGGGAATGCAATCGATTTTATTGCGTATGGCGGCAGTCGAGTATCGTGGCTCCTAGTTGAGCTACGAGCCAAGGCACTCGAATGTCGCTGATAGATAGATAGATAGATAGATAGATAGATAGATAGATAGATAGATAGATAGATAGATAGATAGTATAGATATAGATATAGATATAGATAGATAGATATATATAGATATAGATAGATATAGATAGATAGATAGATCGACAGACAGACAGACAGACAGATAGATAGATAGATAGATAGATAGATAGATAGATAGATAGATAGATAGATAGATAGATAGATAGATAGATAGATAGATAGATAGATAGATGGACGGATAGATAGACAGACAGATGGATGGACGGATAGATAGACAGACAGATGGATGGATAGATGGATAGATAGACAGACAGATGGATGGATAGATGGATAGATAGACAGACAGATGGATGGATAGATGGATAGATAGACAGACAGATGGATGGATAGATGGATAGATAGACAGACAGATGGATGGATAGATGGATAGATAGACAGACAGATGGATGGATAGATGGATAGATAGACAGACAGATGGATGGATAGATGGATAGATAGAATAAAAAGCAGCTAGCTGGCGCAATAATAATTAATGGGGTTTAACGACCTAAAACCACGATATCATTATGAGTGACACCGTGGTGGACCATCTGATTCTCTTAAAGTGCGCTGACATCGCACAGTACACGGAACCGAGATAGAACACGCGACCTTTGAGTCAGCAGTCGAAAACTGTAACCGCTACACCACTGCGGTGAACTTCAGCTAGAGTAATACGACTGCAATTATCTACATTATCTTGAAAGATCAGAAACGACGTCTGAAAATAATTAGGGCACACCAGATGCACTAAGAAACACCAAATGAGTTATGAAATGAACCTGCACGGGATCTTTTTTTGTTTGGTTCGCTGAACTTCATGTTCACAGTAACAACTTGGTTTTCACTGTATTGACTATGCCAAACTACACGAACCGATCATCAAAAAAAAAAAGTGGGGGATTCATCACCACAATAGCCGCATTGCATCAAACTAATCTTGACAGCTGCGAAAAATTTATTACAATAACTTGCGCAGCAACTGTGCATAAATAAAATGTAAAAAGAATGTTCAACAGCTTTCTAGATAACATATTTTCGGATCACTCGTCTAGACATAAAACAGGTAAAGCACCCTTAAACGCGAGCTTTGTTGTTTAGAGAATGTATAGTTTGTGAACGAAAATAAAGATTGAGGTAACCAAATACACGCCTCGAGTGAAAAAAAAATGCAACAAATGCAATTTCTCCGTGCCGTGCCAGCATCAGTGAGAAAGCCTGTTACTATAGATGGGCTCGAGGATTAGTTGATCGATAGGGCGATTGTCACTTCTACAAGCTTGTCATATTTAAATGGAAACTACGACTCTCACAAGCCCCTTCTTCCATAACGCCCAACCACGTGCCAACGCACAAAATTATTTCGTTCACGTGCGCCCTCGAGTCTAACAACGTTAAGGTTTAACACGTTTCTTTCTTTTTTCATTTCTTTCTTCATGCGCGTGGCTTTTATTCGACAAGAGCCAATGCCCCCTCCCCCTCTCTGGGCGACAAGAACTTGGCCTCAGCGAAAAGAAACCGGTCGATATTCCCTCATCGCCGAGGGTGAGCATAGAGATTCCTAAAAAAAATGACGAGTGGCCTACACAGTGAATAGTATGAAAAGACAGAAAAGTAAACATCGGGGCCCTCGATAAAAGCGCGTAAGCTTTTATGTCAGGAGCCGGAGGAGAAAGAAAGAGAAAAAAAAAAAACCACTTCATGTAGCCTATCTGAAGGCCTGCAGGAGCCAACTCAAAGCGCCGAAATGAACTAATATAGCAACGAAAGGATGAACGAGCCATTAAAAGGAAAAGGGTGCAGAAGGGACTTAACCTCTTCGGTTCTCTCTCGCATTTGCTGCGTTGCAGAAAACGTGCGTTTCTCGTGTCTATAATTTCGCACGCGTCGCCAAGGTGAAGCCTCAGGGCGCGTCGTCTTATATGCGAGGGCCTCTGATTTATGCGTCTAATATTTGCTCGGCCGTTATGCGGCGGCGAATTCGCCGCAGAAGTTTCGCAGTGTTCGCTATGTGAATGTGTTCCCTCGCCGATGTATATATTTTTGGACGCCTCCTTGCTGCCTTTTGTACGATACCTCTGTGTTATTTCTATCTTCGCAGAGTCTCAAATTATGATATATACGGTTCATTAACACGCCTACCGCACTGCACCAACCCTTACAAACTGTCAGGTGCTCCGCGCTTGCGCATGAATTTTTGTTCTTTCCCGCATGGCCTGCGCATCACCGTAGATTTGGCGTCTTTCGCGATGAGTATTTGACTAATTACGAGGCTTATGCTTTCTTTAAAGTATATTGGTGTCTTTATCTTTTCCCCACAACGTACAAAGCCATGGTAGCAACCCATTTCACTCGGATATTTCTAAGCTGTGAGGCTTGCTTGGCCGTCAAATAAAGCGAACGGTCGCACATATCTTCCAGGACGTTGTGATATTGTACTTGGTATGGGGATCGTATATGCGTGGGGTGGTAGGCTTGGTGAGTGCTAAATGGAATAACTTCAAGAACCTTCTTTTTATAACGATTACTTTATTATAATTTTAATGCGATTTTCATTCATTCAGAACTTTACGCTCTTTCTGTATGTCCATAGGCATCTGCGTTACGTAGACTTACGCCACTGACTGAGGCCACTGCTTAAATATGAGAACCTGACAATGTTAAATACACGGAGGCGCACACCCGTCCTGGAGCAAAACGAAACCTCTATTACGGAGTACACGCCAATCGTATTCCCATGTGGGCATGCATCTTCGCGTAGCTGGCCGCACGA